GGCCGGCACCTAGACCATACCCTTGGGCTCCCTCGGTGGCCAGGGGACAACAGATGCCCTGAGCAAGCTCTTCTCAGGACTCAGCTCCCCTGCCGCGGTCCGGCTGGGCGCCTTGTGAAGACGACCACAAGGTGGGCTGGATGAACACTCTCAGAGCCACATCCTCAATGAGACGTTCAGAGGGATCTGGAAGCCAGTTCCTCACTGGTTTCTTCTCTAGGAGCAGGCACTGTGGCTCCCACTGCGGTGGCCCTCCCCCGGCCCCTCTGTGTAGTGCCGTCCTCACTCCAACCCCAACCCCCAGTGCGACCTGTGCACCGGTGACTGCTCCGTCCCGCAAATGTGCACCCGATGCCCCCAAGTCCACAACCCTGTTCGAAGGGCCAAAGTCCCGGTGCAGGCAGCGCCTCCCCCCAGGCGTGGCCCTGTCCCCAGGTGTGCCCCTCCACGGCAGTACTTCCTGTCGCCTGGACTTGGATCTTCACACATGGCAGGCACAGGCACCTCGAGTTTTCAGCAGTGCCTGTGGCCAGGTGTCACAGCACACAGATGGAACCCAAAGGAGCCAGTGTCATGCCTGTCCTGCCCTGAGGATGAGAGAAGTGGCAGAGGCCGGCCGGTGAGAGACGCTGAAATGCACAGCACAGCCACAGTCCTGCTGGAGGGAGTCCCTGGGGGAAGTGAGGATTCACACCCAGGCTGTCTGGAAAGGAAACTTTCACAGCCGCAGCTGGGCTCTGAGGACACAGTGGTGGGGCAGGCCACCCCAGAGGCTCAGATGTGGGACTGCGAGGGTGGCAAGCCCGACCTGGCTGCATGAGGCACCCCGCAGCCTCCCTACCAACCTGTCTGCGACAGTAGAGCACGTCCCCCATGAGCCCCACAGCAATGGCCTTCCCTGCCCGGGGCCACACCGACCAAGCTCCCACCAGACATCTCAGACATCTGCACCCGGCAGTACCCTTGCCATGCTGGGCTCCTGGTTTCCTGGGAACTCTCCCCCTTAGCTCTCCCCACCCAGCTCCTGCCCAGAGCACACCTGCAAGCCAGGCTCCAGGCCCTCTCGGCTCTGGGCCCCAGAACCCCCGAATGCCAACTGTGCAGTCAAGGCCCTTGACATGGGATCAACATCCTGTTTGTCTCCTTATAATTACGGGCCTTCCTCCTCCAATTCCTCACTCAGGATTTAATTATCTAGAAGGATTCTTCTGGGACATTCTTTCATCAGAATCCCCATGGTGCTGGGGAAGGGTGCTGAGAAACGTAGCATTTTACACACTTTGTCACTCGAAATAAAACATTCTAGTAACATGACCAATGTAAACTAGAATAACTCTCGCTCTCTCTCTCTCTTTTTTTTTTTTTTTTTGCTATAGGGCACGTGCGCTCACCAGAAAGACAGAGAGACAGAAAGTGAGAAATCACCCCTTGGGAGGATGGCCACGCCGCAATCCCTTCTCCATTCTCCAGTAATGATCCTGGGCACACATGCATATGCACCCGGCGTGAGTTTAAGCCACTGGGTCCGAATCACGGTCGGCTCATGGGAGTCCAGCG